AAGAATGAATCTTTCATGTGTGTGTGCTCACTATGGATCAGGAAGTATTCTAAGAGTTTTACATATAGTAATGTTACTTAATTCTCACAACAACCTTAAGAGTGGTGCTATTATTATCTCCATTTTCCAAGGAACAAAAGCACAGAGAGGTTAAGTAACTTGCTCAAGGTTGCACAGCAACTAAGGATGGAGGCAAGAGTCCAACCCAGGCAGTGTGGCTCCAGAGTCAGTGCTCCGGTGTGCTCTCCCCTTAGCACTAGAGGCAGTAGAGCCCAGACACTTGCCTCTAGCCACCAGATCATGCTTCCAAACTTTAGAACTGTTGCTTCTTCATTCATCAGCAGCAGCCCAGATCTCAGAGGGACCTTTGGCGCCCCCCTCAATCTCACCTGCAGGCCACTGGTGTCTAACCTTAGTTGTCTGTGCTCCTGACTTGTGCAGACTCTCAGCTTTCGCTTTTCCTCCACTCTTACTAGAGGTTTAAAAATACTTTTTTCATATATTATAGTTGTACGCATTTATCCTTACTAGATGGTGCTGTCCCCCTCAATCTTCCCTTCATCTAATGTATTGTCTATGTTCGATTTTAGGCTCCTCCATTCCCCCAAAAAAGTGCAGACTACTTAAAAGCGATCATTTCGATATCTTTACAACTGTTTATCCAGTGCCAGGCCCTGTGCAGCTATTCCATTCCTCATGAGAACTCAAGGACGGGGTGTTCTTAGATGTGTACAATGAAGTCCCCCTGCCTGGGGTCAGTACTGGTGCGTGGTGGAGCCTGGACTCAGAGCCAGTGGGCCCAGCTTCAGGTCCATGGTTTTCTCCCTACTTGCATAGTTCACCCCACTTCCACGTTCACCTGCCATGAAAAGCCCCCCAGAACAATGAAGCAACCAAACCTTGGGGGATGGGACTGTGGATGGGGGGTGGTAGAAGAAGCAAAACAAAGGGGCCTCAGAGCTCTCCAGCATGGCTCAGTTTCAGGGAAATATCTGTTGCTGTCACTTTATCAGCCACAAGGGCAAAGACCTAGGACAGGCAGGAGATCCGATCTGAACTCTGATATTAAAAAGGAGGCAGTAAGAACAGTGATCACTCTGAGCCTGTATATTAAATGTATTTTCCCTTTGTGAAAAAAAAACTGCAAAAGTTATGTTTCAACATAAAGGCAGCCTGTGTTTCATAGCTATTCTAATTTATGGGCCGTACATTCCCGTGATTGTCTTGAACTGAATAGCCAAGTAAATAATCATCGAGAGCCACAGGTAAATCACTTGGAGGTGAACCGAGCCTGTCCAGAGCTTCCAGAAATGGCACAAACATTATTTCCTAATTTTGCAGATTTCTTCATCTGAGCTCAGAAAACACCTTCTCTCATTGGCTTTGAGGTTTGACACTTTTTCCACTCACATCCTGAAGAGACAGCGACAAGGTGAAACGTGAGAAGTGTACAAAGCATTTTCAAGGATTCCCCGTCTAATTTTCCTTCTCAATTCCAAGGAAATAATGCCATGCGCTTCACTTCCTTAAGTATTTATTCTGTGCTACTAAATGACTAGAAACGGGAGGTGACGGGAGGAGTCCAGGGAAGTGGGAGATGGGGACCACACTCTTACAAAGCCTAGAACCGGCTTGATTTCTTTTTTTATTGTGGCAAAATATACATAACACAAAATTTGCCATTTTAAGCATGACCATTCAATGACATTAAGTACATTCACATGTTGGACAACCAGAAAGAAAGTGATCTTCTTCCTCAACTAGAACTCTATGCCCATTAAACATTGACTCCCGTTCTCCCTGCCCCCAGCCCCTGGTGACCACCGTTCTAGTTTCTGTCCCAATAAATTTGACTACTTGAGGCACTTCATATAAATGGGATCATACAATATTTATCTTTTTGTGACTGGATTATTTCATACAGTATGTTTTCAAGGTTCTTCCATATTGTAGCATGAATGACACGGTTGATTTTAAACATACGGATGTTGAACCAATGGACACACCAAACCAGGTCAGTCAACTGAAAGGCAAATGCATATCCACATTCACTTGTGGCTGTTTTAAGGAAATTTGACTCTAAGCAATAAATCCCATGCATTTATTTAGCTCCTCCTCTGTGCAAGGGCCCACGGGCAGCTGAGGCAGAAGGTAGACACTGCTTTTCAAGGATCTGAAATCCCAGTCCAGGAGATATAGTGTGCAGATTCAAATCCAGATGTTAAGTGCTAAGTAACAGAGTACAAATGAAAAGGCAAACAAGTTTAATAGAGGTCATTTTGGCCAGGCACTGCGGCTCACGCCTGTAATCCCAGCACTTTGGGAGGCTGTGGCAGCAGGATCATGCAGTCAGGAGAACAAGACTATCCTGGCTAACATGGTGAAACCCCATCTCTACTAAAAATACTAAAAATTAGCCAGGTGTGGTGGCGTGCACCTGTACTCCCAGCTACTCGGGAGGCTGAGGCAGGAGAATCGCTTGAACCCGGGAGGTGGAGGTGGCAGTGAGCCGAGATGGCGCCACTGCATTCCAGCCTGAGCGACAGAGCGAGACTCTGTCTCAAAAAGAAAAAACAGAGAGGTCATTTCAGGCAGAGGTGATTGAGGAAGAGATGGAAGTTCGTGGTAATTTGAAGGATGGGTGGAGTTTAGTACAAAGGAGTGGCCTAGAGATAGAAAACATTCCAGACTGGCATGGGGTGAAAGTACATCTGACAGCAAACTCTCTTTTTCAGGGTTTCATCCCCAGTGCCTGGTACCACAGCAAATATGTGCCTCGTGAATCAGTGAATGCATAGCTCAGAGGTAAGAAAACCCAAAGTGAAATCTGAAAACAATGGGTAGACGGTCTGGCTTGAGAAGAGGGTCCCTAAAGAATGTTGGTAGAGATCAGGATGTGGAAAAACTTTGACTGTCAAACGAAGAAGCTTGAAATGTATCCTGAGGAAAATGGGGAGGCACTGAAGGTGGTTGACCAGGACAGTGATTCTTCCACCCTTTCTAATCATAAGTGCATCAAAGCACAGACATTCCCCGAGAAGCTTAAAGTGATGAGGGCTGGGTAATGGGATACAGCCTTCTTCATCAGGTTTATGCGGATGGGGCAGCATCTTGTTTAGAAGTATCGTTTTTTGGAAGCATTGTAAAGTGAAGGTAGGTGGAGGAAGCTGCTAGCCAACAGGCTAGGGAGGACAACTTCCCAGTAATCCTGAACAAGGGCAACAATGTAGCTGTTGGGATTAGGAGGAAACAGGCAAATCTTGAGGCCATGGTTGGAGAGGGGATTACAACATGTAGGGATCTTGAAACTCCAGGAGAAGAATCAGAAGCCAGAGACAATGACAAAGGTCAGGACTGATTGATCTCAGTGGCCAGCGAGGGAGGTTTAGAGGAAAAGAAGTTTTTTGCCTTATAGAGTGAGGTTGGAATGAGAGATCAGGCTTCCCTATTCAAAAGAGAAGCAGAGCTTCAGGATTAAATAGCTGGAGAGATTCGATCTGCAGCAAGGCAATGTGGACTGTGGAAAGGCACAGAAATAAATGAAGGTCATAGAACACAAGAATTATGGGGAGGAGAAATTAGAAGAGTGGAAGGGAGGGTTGGAGAGGAGGAGAAAGGAGAGGAGAGGAGGCGACTGACTTTGCACTTAACAGAAACTCACTTCAACTGGTTTAAACCAAAAAGGGGAATTTATTACAAGGTCACAGGGATATTTGATGGAATGCAAAAGAGCAGCCAAGATCTAAAGAAGAATGGAACCAGGAACTGGAGAGCTGTCCAGAACCGGCAATTACTCTTTTCTCTTTCCTTCTCCAGGGCCACCTGCACTCTCTTCTGTGCTTCTCCCTCTGCACCTACTTTACTCTTGGCTTTCTCCACTATGCAGATAGAGGGTCACACCTCGGAAGGCATAGAGGAGCCAGCAGGGTTACATCTTTCTATTCAAAAGACCAGCAGAAACTAGTGTCCCTGAATCCAATTCCGAATGTCCAGCGAAGAATGTATGATTGGCCTCTTATCTAAGTTCCGAGTTCTCCTGGAATCCATCAGCCATGGGTTGGGGGATGGGGGTAGGGGTTGAGGGACATGGTATAAATATGGCTCCTGAGCTCCACTCCCGCGAGAGGAGGGCAGCTTTGAAAAGTAGATTCCACAGAAGATATGGACCAAACCAAATCAGGACTGAAGGTATTGCAGCTGTTTTGCTCTAGAGAAGAGAAGGCTCTAGCAACCATGAGAACAGTCTTCTGGTAGCTGAAGGGGTGCCTGCAAATATGTGAATGATCCTGTAGGGGATAAGGTGGCTGATTGAGCAGAGGAAGGAGAGGCATTCCGCCAGGGAGTGCTGCCAGTTCTGCAGTGGGCTGTTCTGGGAGCAGGAGCCTCCCCAAGGGGCAAGGGGGAGGCAGAGCTATGATTTCCTTAAGCAGCAGGTGTTCTAGTGTCCCAGCTCTGAGGGAAGTCGCATAAATGACTCACAGGCTTCTTCCAGTGTTAAGGTTTTGTGATATTTCTTCCTAATCCTTCCACTCCCACCCCACCTCCTCCTGTCTTCTCTCTCTTTTATTTTATCCAGTTACCACCTAAATCAGGGGCTGTTAGTTGGAGAGGACATCATGAAGCCCAGGAGTATCCTAAAATTAGATGCAAAATTGTAGGGGAGGGGGTTAGGACTCATGTAGATTTATCAGAGAGAGGGTTCAGTCAAGGGGACCATGACCAAGAAGAGGGTGGGAAGCAATGCCTGAAAGAGAAGTGCTTGGAAAGGCAGCTTACAATACCAGTGAAATACAGAAACAGAGATGGAGTCGGAAATACAACTGGAAAATGGAGAAATCAAATGTATTTTCTAATACTGGGTCTACACAGCTGCTATGATTAAACTTCAAGTTAAATTTTGAGCTTCCTGGCAGCTGGAGAAACCCAGTTTATATATCGATGGGAAGCAGCAGTCCATCAAGAGCAATGAAGCTATTTCTAACCCTGACTTCTAAAAGAAATTTCCCTCCAGGCTAAAAATATCACAAAAGTAAATGTAACAAGTATGAGTAGTAACTATTATATTAGCATAGCTACTATGGTATTATGGTATTAATTAGTATAACTACTATATAACTACTACTATTACTATTTACTACTGTTACTGTTAATTCAAAATTAATAGGAATTACTGTTTATTCAAAATTACTTTGTGGCAGGCACAAAAGGAATTTTGTAAAGTAATGTGGCAGGCACATTGTATATACTATTTCCTGACAGTAATCTATTAGGTTGTCATTATTCTTAAACCAAAATTCCCAATGAGGAAACTGAGGCACAGTGAGGTGGAGAGACTTGTGCCTACATTTTCAGAGCTTGTAGAGAGGACACCCAAGCTGTGCCTGCCAGACCCAAGGGTCACACTCTTAGCGATTGCAAATAACACAAATCTTTAAAAAGATAAGAAAAGGGCCAGGCACCGTGGCTTATGCCTGTAATCCCAGCACTTTGGGAGGCCAAGGTGGGCAGATCACTTGAGGTTAGGAGTTCAAGACCATTCTGGCCAACGTGGTGAAACCCTGTCTCTATTAAAAATACAAAAATTAGTTGGGTGTGGTGGTGCATGCCTGTAATCCCAGCTACTTGGGATGGTGAGGCAGGAGAATAACTTGAACACAGGAGATGAAATTCGCAGTGAGCCCAGGTCGTGCCACCGCACTCCTGCCCAGGGAACAGTGCAAGGCTCCATCTTAAAAAAAAAAAGAAAAAGAAAAAAATATCACCTGTGGCCCATACCCTCAAGCAGCTTTTTATCTAGATGAGAGTAAAGGTGTGCACAAACCAAACATCAAAATTACTGACTTTACCGTCTTTGAGAATCTACAATGGTAGCTTTATTTTGGCTGCTTTGTATTATGTGTGTTTTCCCTCGATTTCCCAAACACTGAGAAGTATGTACTATCCCCGCTCTGTTACTGAAGACTAGTTCTATCTGGGTCAAGTTCAAACTGCTCCACCAGGCTTTCAAAGTCCTGTGTAATTTGGGTTTTCCTACCCAACAGAATTTTCCACCATAATTCCCACGTGTTGAGAGGGACCTGTGGGAGATAGCTGAATCATGGGGGCAGTTTCCCCCATACTGTTCTCGTGATAGTGAATAAGTCAAACAAGCTCTGATGGTTTAATAAGTGGAGAAATCCCTTTCATTTGACTCTTTTTCTCTCTCTTGCCTGCTGCCATGTAAGACATGCCTTTCACCTTCAGTACCAAGCCACATGGAACGGGGAGTTTATTAAACCTTGTATACATATAGAAATTACTCAGTCTCAGGTATGTCTTCATCAGCAGCATGAGAACAGACTAATACAGGTAAGGATCTATGTATTCATTTCTTCATGCAGTCAGCAGACACTCAGTCTCAATGTTGCCTCTGTGTTAAGCACCAGACATCCAAAATGAATGCACTTGAGGAATTTGCAGTCTACTGGGAGCGAGTGGGGACACATTTAGATAACGACAGTGCCTGGCACAGTGAAGAGTGGGTAGTGATGAAGGTCTGGAACATACAGAAGTGTGAAGAGAGAGGGTATGAGCGGAGCTCTATTGGAAAACCGACGAGACTGGGTATATGAGACTAGTGGTGAAGGAAAAGATGAAGAGAAGTCTGGGTGTTGGAAATTGAGATGGAGGAGTTGGTTAGACTTGGGATAGCTTGAGTTTGAGTGGTGGGAGACATCTTTGTAAAAATAGCCAGTTGGCAATGATATGGACTGGCACTGGGGTGTGAGGACAGAACAGGACACCTAAATTTAGGAATAAGAAGTAATGATGTGGCCATTGCAATCACTAAAATGGTGAGCGTTCTGAGGAGTGGTATTGTGGTTGAAGAGCAAACAGTTTCATATGCATCAGAACTAGCAGCAGGCTTACCTTTTAGCAAGTGTTAAAAACATGCTACTGGGCTCACTTGATCTATGTCCTGTCCTTGAATTTCTGTACCAATACGGATAATATCAGTGCTCTGTCAATAAGTACAGCATGTTCCATCCGCTGCCACCTAACTCTTAACAAGCTATCTGAGCGAAGGTGCTTGTGTGAAGGTGACACTTGCCCTCACCAATGTCATCTGAGGAAATACCCATCTTCCCTTAAGTGTCTCTCCTCCCTGCCTTCACATATCAGTGCACTATAAATGATGATGAGGAGGGTTTGTAAATCAAGAAAAAGGCCCTGTGTTCAAGCACTCCTTAATTAGGTAGGATGAATACAGCATCCTAGTTCATTTGGACGGGACAGTGGGGAACCGTTCCATCTCCTGGATGTCCCCACCTGGGTCCTGCAGTGTTCCCAGGGTGACTGCTCTGTGTAAGGAGTTTATAACTTAGCTTCTTATTCCTTATGCCAACATTGACAGGAATATTGGGCAGGTTGAGTCTGTTACCAGGTTTTACAAAAAGGTTTAGAGATTCAACAAGGAATTAAAGTTTCTGTTTAAATATTTATACCTCACCTTGTTCTGAAAACAATTCAAGGTTCCTTGTCAGATTATATACATTAGATCAGGGAAAAACAAATTAGAAATTGATGACAAAAAAAAAAAGTGTAGGACTCTGAACCTGAAACTGAGCCAGGAGTGAGACTGAAACGCAGCAATGCATCCTATGAAGTTCCGTCCATTTACCCTGGGTGGGACTCATATTGGGATCAGAGAGCTCTAACAACCAGTGCAAAAAGGAAAATCTGATCAGTCACAGCATTTACAGCAACCAGGAGGCAATATGCCCACAGGCCAAGTTCTTAGGAGAAGCCCAGTCAATCCTGAACTGAGAAAGACGGGAATTTCCCCCAGGGTTCCTCATAACAAGGGTACTCTGTGATGAAATAGAGCATTCCAGTAAAATGCCCACGTAAGTGGCACCTTCTGTACAGGACTATTCCTTAGTAGAAATCTGCAGCATTAACCTCCCACCAAAGGCCAAGACAATAAAAGCAATTCCTGCGGGTCAACATGATGCAGCCAACCCAGTGCTGGCCTGGCTTAAATTAGGACTCAAGTTTGGAGAAGGTTGACGGGTGGAAACCGTGGCTGGAAGAGAGGAGTGCTGACTTGAGGTCCCATTACTATTTAATATGTTACCATGTGGGACAGTGATAAGAACTTAGGCTTTAGATGTAGATAAAAAGTGAATTTGATCACCACCACTTAATCAGCTGTGTGTTCTTGATGTATGTGCACCTCAGTTTACTCATCTGTACTATGGGTGATACAGTCCTTTTCATCCAGATTGTTGTGAGTGAAAGTTACTGTAGATGCAGTGCCCAGCACCATGCCTGAAACAGAACAAGTGCGTGATAAAGAGCAATTACAAAGCCTCTGTCGTGTCCTCGGACTGTAGAATCACCTTGGATAGAGTGAATTTCTTGGGCTTCGGTCTTACCTTCTGGTAAGGTATTGGAGAGTGGGTATTTCTGGAATCCCTTTTCATCTCTAGCATTCTATTTCATGATTCTATGACATTTAAAATATAACTTTATATCAAAGAACATGAATACTAAAATTATGTTGTTGCTTTTATACAAATACTCCCCCTTTCTATTTTTTTAAAGACAGAGTCTCACTCTGTCACCCAGGCTGGAGTGCAGAGACATAATCTCGGCTCACTGCAACCTCCACCTTCTGGGTTCAAGCGATTGTCCTGCCTCAGCCACCCTACTAGCTGGAATTATAGGCGTGTGCTGCCCCCACCGGGTAATTGTTAGTATTTTTAGTAGAGACGGGGTTATGCCATGTTGGCCAGGCTGGTCTCAAACTCCCGAGCTCAAGTGACCTGCCTGCCTCGGCCTACCAAAGTGCTGGGATTGCAGGCGTAAGCCACTGCACCCGGCTAATGCTCCCCATTTTGACAAAAGTCAATATCATATGTGTGTTCTAAGACCTACTACAGAAGTGTGATAACTTCCGATAGTTTATTGCTGCACAATATAAACACAAGAAAGACAAGGTGGTGGGGAAGTCAGAAATGCAGGTGACCAACACACTCCTTCAATGCCCTCCCCTACTGCCTCCTGGATAAAATCCCATCTTCTTAGCAGGAAGCTCCAGGCTTTTCAGCATGTGGCCACTGCCCACTTCTGCTGCCTTGGCCCTGACCTGGTCCTTTTCACAGTGAACCTTCAGTCTCAATGAACTGGTTGTGATCCAAATGCACCCGGTTTTCTAAAACTGTATTTTACCCAAGCCAATCCCTGTGTTTCAAATGCTTCACCCCACCCCTCCCAATGGCTTCCAGAAATCCACTTAAACAAGTTTCTAGATGGTTAATACTGACTCCTAATTTATCTTCTCAGGAAGATAGTGTCAAGGAGCAAAAATAATAATTAAGTTAATTTTTAAAACTTTGCTATGATTTCCATTTTTCATTATTCCTTTAGCAATACCTGCGATTTGTTTAATACAAAATGCCAGGGACTGTCTTACATACATTATTTTTTCAGTTCTTGCAACATTCCTGAGAGGTAATAACCATCCCCATTCTGATGAGAAAACAGAGATTAAAGGAAGCAAAGATACTTAAAGACAGAACAACTAAGGGCCGGGTGTGCTGGCTCACTCCTTTAATCCCAACACTTTGGGAAGCTGAGGCAGGAGGACCACTTGAGGCCAGGAGTTCAAGACCAGCCTGGGTAATATAGTGAGACCCCTATCTCTAACAAAAGCTAGCCAGACATGGTAATATGAGCCTATAGTCCCAGCTACATGGGAAGCTGCGGTTGGAGGATTACTTGAGCCACAGAGGTCAAAGCAGCAATGAGCTGAGATCTTGCCACTGCACTTCAACCTGTGTGACAGAGCAGAACCCTGTCTCAAAAACAAAAAATGATTAGGAGCTGGGATTCAAACCAAGCTTCTGAAACCAAAGTCAGTGGTCTTTCTACCATACCTTACTGCCTCCCCAAAAGAGCAAAGGCTGTTTCCCACAAGGCTCTCTACCTGACAAGACAGATCAGACACGTGGAGCAC